GAGACAGCAAAAATGACATAAAAAAAACTGTTCACAGAAATTATGGCAAAAAAATTCCCAAGCAGGGAAAAGTAAGTTGACATACTAACTATATTGGAGTGGTGAGGCTTAGAGAACTCCAATTACCCATGACTGAAATATATCTAAACCATGGCATATAATAAACAAGATTCCACAAATTCAATACAAATAAATAATATTACAAGCTGTTAGAGAAAATAAGCAAATCAGCTATACAGGAAAGCCTATCCAAATCACAGTATACTTCTCTACACAAGCATTTAAGTCAAGGCAACTTGGGATAAAGTATTTCAAGCTTTAAAAGAAAACAATCTCTAACCCAGATTGGTGGACCTTGCAAAATTATCATTCAAAATCAATGGAGAAATAAGAAGCTCCCATGACAAAAAACAAACAAACAAACAAGCAAACAAAAAACCACCGGAGGAAACTCATGACAATGAAACTAGCACTCCAAATTTTCTTAAAGATATTTTAGAAAGAGATAATGCAGACTACAATTCCAACAACACTAACAGAAAGAATTTACCAGGCAAGACAACTGAACGGGGGAAAGAAAGAGAACCTACAATAGGAAAATAATATGAGAAGAATAAACCAATACATATCACTTATAGTCATCGATGTGAATGGTCTCATTTCACCAATCAAAAGAAACAGACTGGCAGAATGGATCAAGAAGCAAGATCCAACAATTGGCTGCATATAAAAAACACATTTAATTCAAAAATAGACTCATAGAAAGAAAGTCAAGGAATGGGATACAATACTCAATGTGACAGGAACCCAGGAAAAAGCAGGGGTAGATCTTCTACTTGCAGACAAAGTGGATTTCAAGCCAAGACTGATTAAGAGGGAAAAAGAAAGTCACTACATCCTTGTGATGGGGAAAAGTTCCAAGAGGAGTAGATAACAATCATAAATATATATGTGCCAAATACCAGTGCACCCAACTCTATAAAACAAATATTAATGGAAATGAAAATCAAATAAGCACTAATACAGTGTAATGGAAGACTTTAATACTTCATTGTCACAAGTAGACAGATCAAACAGACAAAAAAATTAACAGCAACATTTCATAACTGAGTCCGACTTTTGAACAAAGTGATTTCATTAATGTCTACAGTGTTCTACCCCACAATATCAGAATACACATTCTTCTTAGCTGCACACAGGACATTCTCCAAAGTAGACCACATACTAGCTCATAGAACATGCTTAAATAAATGCAAAGGAATTGAAAGTGCCCCATACATAGTATCAGACCATTATGTAATAAACTTGGAAATCAATGGCAAAAGAAACCACAAACACTTCATAAACACAGGGAAATTAAATAGCATCCTCCTGAGCAAACAATGAGTCACAGATGAAATTCAAGTAGAAATTAGAGAGTTTTGATAACTAAATGATGTTGTCAACACAACATACCAGAACTTATGGGACATAATTAAAGTGGTCCTATCAGGGAAATTCATAATGGTGAATTCCCATATCAGGAAAACAAAGTGAACTTAAATAAACAAACAACTCAAATAAACACCCAGTGTTGAACCTCCACCTTCTGGAAAAAGAAGAGCCAGTTAAGCTCAAAGCTCACATGAGGGAAAGAATTGGAAAGATCAGAGCAGAATTTAATGCAATGGAGACTAAAAAAGCAATACAAAGAATCATTGAATTGATGACTTGAGTCTTTGAAAGATTAAACAAAATTGTCAAACCCTTAGACAACCTTATCAATGAAGAGAAAAAACTCAAATCTATACAATTAGGAATGAAAAGGGTGAATCACAACACATTTCCAGAAATTCAGGAAATCTTCAATACCCACTTTAAGAACCTGTGTTCTAATAAGATGGGAAACAGAGAAGAAATGGACAGATTCCTGGTTCATATGAATTACCAAAACTGAAACAAGAAGGTATAAAGATCTAAGTAAACCAATATCAGTAAATGAAATTGAAGATGTAATTAAAAACCTACAAAAAAACCTGTTCTTTTATTCCATGTATGCAATAATATATCACATTGTCTTTTTCAAGGTAAACAAAAATTATATATTCTGAAAACTATTATGGGATACAATTAATTGTGCTATTTTTCCTGGAACATGATAATTTTTTTATTTGACCTTTCAGTGCTATTCCCAACAAAGTCGCTTGTGAGTCATTACCTTTCCATAAGACACATTGTTGGTTTACATCTTGCATGGCTTTTCTATTCTGTTAGTATTTACAGTTCCTGGTATGTGGGGCACCCTTACATGCTACTATAGACATTATGTCCAGTGATACAAGTCTGTAGCAGTGCTTTGAGTAGGTATTTCATCCTGAACTTGGAGCACTGATCTTAGAAGTAGAAGTCCTGAATTAGATTTTTGGTCTCATCATCATTTATTAAATAGATGATGTTGAAGAACTCATGTCATCTCTTTGAGTCTGGTATCTTCCTCCTTAAACTATTATAGAATTAATATACAAAAGCCATGTTATTATTATGATAATCTTATAATATGTGTAAATATTTTGTGAAGTTTAAAGTACTATGTAAATTATTATTTTTATATTTGATTCATCTATTATTAAACTCTAGAAAATATTGAGATAATGGATATTATGTTGATAAAGGCCTAGAGAAAGCTATGTTAGATGCATCTAAGAATCTCTAATACATTAAAACCTGATCTAAAAATTACATTTTAAAACCAGTTAATATTGAAATACATTGGGTAGAAACAAATCAATAAATGTCTTTAATCATTTATAATATAAAGTTGACCAAATTTTGGAAAGGTTATGAAAAATATTTAGTGTGATACAATGATATCTAAATCAGAAGTGTGATGATAAGAGATGGTGATTCAAGTTATAGTTCCTAAAATATATATACATGACTACGGTAGGCAAAATCTTGAAATGGTCCCCAAGATGCTTTGCTCCTGATGTATGTATGCACCTTTCTGTCTTCTACATGAAAGACAAGACTGTAAACATGATAATATAATCATGTCTTCTATAATCAGGTTTTTAATCAACTGACATTTGTTTAATTAAAAGATAGATTATCTAAATAAATGGATCCATCCATATCAAGGTCAGACAGAAGTTAGAAAGATTCAAAGCACACAGGACCGACAAAGGAGGCCTCATGGTAAAGCCTCTAAGAGAGGAGAGTTCCCTCTTTCTTTCCTCTCAGCAGCAGAAGAATGGGGGCCTTAGCCTTATAACTGCAAGCTCTGAATTTTCACAGTCATCAGCTGAGGTTTAAAAGCACCCAAGCTCTAGTTAGTAAGGCAGTCCAACTGACCAGCGATTTTATTTATGAGACCCTGAGTCAGCACCTGCCTGAATGCCTGGCCAAATAGACTGATGACATATTTGTACTGCCTTGATTAAGAATTTATGACATTTATATGAATTTTAATCCAGTACTATCAATGAGAGAAATTGTGTCACAAATTTTGAACTGTTCATGTGAATATAGTGTTTATCCTACATGCAAATGTAAACAAGGGCAAGAGTATCACTTCCTCTTTGAACTTGGTGGACATGTGGGATCTCAGGGCCCACTCAGACCTGCTGAACCATCAGGGATATTTCAACAGATACTCGGCTCATAATTCTTTCACATTAAAGGCATAGAAACATATTTCCACCTATTAGTTTTTAATAATAAATATCTCTAGATGTCTTCTGCTGGTAAGTATTTATCCTACTCAGGAAGCATTAAGATACAGCTCAGGTATATAAAGAGGGGATTGGATAAGGAAGTTAAGGGAAGATCATTTACATCATCTTTGTTCTGATGTCAGAGATGAGTAGCTTAAAACTATATTGGTTTTGGTAGCTATAACATGTAGTGTGGAAATTGGACTCAACTGTAATCACATATAAATAGTATAATTTTCTTAACTTTGTTAAAAAAAAAGATGTTAAAAAAGACATAGAGAGGAGTTAGCACCACTCACCATGTTTCATAAACTTGGAGGGCAATTTTAATTAGACCTCTTTAAAGTCCTACTGAACTGAACTCACCAACTGTCAGGGATTAAGTATACGAGTTTTTCACAGACCCTTCTAGGAAATTCTACTTTTCAGATTGAAAATAATGGCCTTTTGAAATCTAAAGTAACATTGGGTTCCTTTGTTTGTATAATACTTTATAAAGGTAGAAAATCAATTCAAAATCACTGGCATTTTCAACTTCTGAGTTTCACTGCCATTGAACTTGTTTATTGACATTTCTTGGTGGGCTTTCATTTGTCCATTTTTTTATAAATGTATTTTTCTGAACTTATGTTATTGGGGGACCCTCATATGCAACTTGTAATGTTACAATCTATTACATAACACTTAGTGGATCCAAAACTGGATTCAGCTAAAATAATTTAAATAGGCATAAAAGGCATTAATTATTAGTAAATGCATTAAAAATTATAAAATGCTTTTATATTTAAAGTTCAGAACATTAAGAAACAATTTATTAATCTAATCCAAGCATAACAACATTAATCTTTAATCATGTTCAGGATTGTTTTGTTCAGTTTTTCTGCTGGTGTAACAAAATGTCACAAATTGTGTAATCTATGAACATAGAAGTTTATTCAACACATTGTTATAGCTTGTGCTTTCTTGTTGTGTCATAACATAGATGAAGGCAAACAAGGGCACATGAGACCGAGATGGCAAAAACTAATCCAGTCTTGCCATATTGGCATAAATCCACTCACGAGGGAAATGCCTCTGTGCCTTAATTACCCCTTAATATTATTACAATGGCAATGAATTTTCACTGCATTTTAGAGGAGACATTCAAACCACAGCGCCCATGTATCAGAATGGAATAGAAAGAATCTGGGTGGATTCTGGGTAGAGAGAAGAAGAGATGTTATGACAAAACCTTATGCAGACCAGAATTATGGCCCTGTTGTTATTCTGTGTAAAGACTCGTCATTAACAGTGGATCTGTTTTGGAAGGTCCGGAGTGATGTGCTTCCAGGTGGAATCAGTAAAACAGATCATGGCAGTGGAAACAATAAAGGACATCACTAAGGTAAGTTAGAGCTAAGAAAAAGAAAGTGACAGATGATTCTGTACAACAGCAAGACCCTGTTCAGGTGGTTTCAGCTATGGAATGGATTCACTTAAGGTGGGACAAAAGAAAAAGGGGCAGACTTCAATTTCTAGAAAAATATCAGAGAAATACTGATTTATAGCTACCAATGAAATATTAGGAAGATAAAGCTTGGGATTTTTTTTTTTTTTTGTCTTTTGAGGTAGGGTCTCATTGTGCAGTTCAGGCTGGCCTTGAGCTCACTTTGTAGCCAAGACTGGTCTCAAACTTGCAAGGATCCTCCTGCCTCAGCCTCCCAAGTGCTGGTATTACACGCATGCATCACCACGCCTGGCTGTAGCTTGGGATTTAGAGTGTCCCTGAATTATATTATGAATCTATTTCAAGATAGCTGTCAAATTTCTTCTTTTATTTTAAATACCATTAATTTCTTTTAAAAAAATCCTTCATTTTCATGTTATCCTGGATATATTTGCATCATTTCAGAAATGACTCTCCCTCTAGACAATATATGAGTTTGGAGCAATTTACTTAAAGTGAGTCAGTTCTTTCCTGGAATATTTGTTGGGAGAACAAGGAACTCAAGTCAAACTGTTTTCACATAGCTACAGTAGCTACATTTATGTGTGGAGATTGTTTTGCTATATCTTTCCCCATGTAAAATTATCTGCAAAAAGAGGATGATAACATTTTGGAGGAGTGTTACAATGACTAAATGCATGCATTAACTACTTGATTGGGTCATCAAAGGCCCAGATACTTGGTTTAATTTTCTATCTGTGTATATCTGTGAGGGTGTTTCTAGAAGAGGTTAGTATCTGAATCTGTAGACTGAGTGAAACAGATTTTCAACCCAGATTTAAACTTTGGTGTCCTACAAACTATTAATGCTATGCCAGAAAAGAAAAAGCACAACGAAAGTAAATTTGCTCTCTACCTGACTGGTTCAGTTAGGATATGAATATTCTCCTGCCCTCACACTAAGATTTACACACACTATGAGCCTGGTTTTCATAACTTTACATTTACACTGGAGCCATGACATGCACTTTATTGGTTTTCTGCATTGTATACACCAGGTAGTGGGAATTATTTGGCTCCATGATTGCACAAGGTAACATGAATTATAAATCTTTGTCTGTCTGTCTGTCTAACTATTGTTGTTCTGGAGAATCTTGGCTAATACAAGTAATGGAAGATGTAGTAGCTAAATTGTGGAAGCAACCCAAATGCCTGTCAACTGAGGAATGGATATAAAAGTTGTGGTATTTTTATACAATGGAATATTACTCAGCTGTAAAGAAAGATAAACTTGAGGCCTTTATAGGTAAATGGACACAACTTATGAGACCGTACCCATAAGTGAAATAAATCAGACCCACATGTGTAAACACCTCATTGTCTCACTAGAGTAAGAACCTGAGAGAGTGAATAAAATCTAGGAAGTAAAATAGATATAGTGAAATCAAACAAAACTGCTCAAAAGGAAAGAGTAACTGGGATGAAGGAGGGGAGAGGAGAAAGAAGGGAAAATATGTATATATGTATATACAAGATAGCTAAGATAATTGTACTACTGATTTATATAGATTTATTGAAAGGAACAGTTTAATTGTTTGATCCATCTTACATGCCTCTATTTATTTATCTGAGTAACCAATTTGAAGATACCAAACTGTAATACAACAACCATTGTTAATTTCCTGTCACCTTATCTGAAGTTCTGCCTTGCTTGTATTGCTTTTGTGTTACTTTGTCAATGTATGTGTATTTGTTAATGTTTTCTTTATCTTTAAAATAGAAAAATAAAAATGAGAAAAGCATCAAAGTTTTCCTTTGGAATATGACCTTTGGTATTTACTGAAGTATCTATGTGTAGGAAATGAGTTTGACTCTGGCCACTCTTCATATGCAGCTCTAAATTTCTGTTCCACACACTGGTGTTGCTCTTGTTCAGTGCCTCACACACTCCACAAGCACATTTGCAGATATTCCAGAAAGTACATGGTGTTCCTCAGATATGGGAGGCACTCATATTAATAAGTTCTTACCATAAACAATGATGTACATAGTCATGCGTCCGTGAGTGATGAGGCCATGTTCTGAGAAATGCGTTTTTAGGTGATATCTTCACTATGTGAATGCCATAGCATACACTTCCATAAACCTGTAGTACAGATTGCCACTTGACGCAGCCTCTGGATGTAATCAGGAGATATGGTACATGTGAGATGTAGAGGTTGCTGGTAGTGTAACATGACATACTGTTTTATTGTGAGTTTTTTCAGCTGGTGTACACTCTATAATAATGATAAAAAGTACAGTTAAATACATGGGCAGTTGTTATTTATTATCATTATCAGAAATTATGGACATATATAATGGTATGTACCGTACTTTCATAGGCCTAACCACATAACAAGTATTTTTGCACTTTTACTGTGGTTAGACGAGTAATATGTTGTGCCTCACTTTATGATGACTGCGATGTCATTACAGGATAGGAATTTCTCAGCTCCACCACTATTTTATGGGAACGCTGTTGGATATACCATTTGTCATTTACTGAAACACCATTGTATGACCCATGATTATATACTAATATGCATATTTATAGCACATATTTTGAAAAACATTTATTTTTATGTATACCTATGTTATGGTTTAGGTCTAGATGTCCCCCTAGAGCCTCACACAGTCATGGGGAGCAAGCTTTTGTTAGGTGGCTGAATCTAGAGTCTGTGATTGATTCATGGTTCAGTGATGAGATTTTGTGTGTGAGTGCTACACCCTCCCTAGGCTGAGGAATTGGGTACATAAGGGACAGGCCTATGTCTCTCTTGTTGCTTTTGGTGTTTTCAGCTGCCACGAACTGTTGCTTCTTTCCATGTGTCACCCTGCCTTGGAGCCAGTGGATGATGGACTGAACCCTCTACAAACTGTGAGCTAAAAAATCTTTCCTCCTTTAACTTTGGATGCTGAGTATTTTGTCTCAGCTATGAGAAAAGTATCTAAGACAACACAAAGCAAGTATATATATATTTTTGAAAACAAAACAAGTAGCATTAGATGAAGTCAAATACACATTTGAAAATACATTCAAATTTTTGCTTTGAAATTTAGTGAACAGTGAAGTATAAATATGAAAGAAATTAAGCTATAAATTTGAAAAAGGGTAGTTATAATACTTATTTCAGGTTTTTAACTTCTAAAATATGTATCATAATTTTATTTTGAGTTTAGAAGTATGGTATCCCCTATCACAAAATGAAGAGAAAATAAGAATTTCCTCATTTCTAATTTGTGCTTGCATCTGTTTCTGAAATATGGATAAATTTATTTTTATAGGTCTTATGAGGCTTTTTAACAATCTTTTTTTTTTTTTTTGGTTTGAATTTGTTTCTATTATGATCATTCCCCCAATCCTCTAAAATACAGAAAATATACACAGGCTGTGATGAGAATTAAGATGTCCAATTTGTTCAGGAAACAGTATTCTGAACAAATAGGAAAAGTAATTTCGAGATAAGGGCATGACAGAGATTGCCTTGTTTTACGCGGTGTCAGCAGCAGTGAATGAGGAAAGTTCTACACAATCATGAAGGAGTTCTGCCCTGAGAAATGCCTGGGGACCTAACAGAGCATCAAAGTATAAGCAAACATTTTTCAGTGACTGCATAATGTACTAGTTAAAATCTGAGACTCCCTAATTAGCACATGCATATAAGGAATGATCCTTAGGATGAAGAAATAACGGTGGGTAAGAATACATGCACATTTAGTTTTTGTTTGTTTCTACTAAAATAAACACCATTTAATACGAGAACACAATGAAAAACTCTCCTGTCTCAAGAACAAAAGATAGAATTTTAATTATGCATACTCCACTGATAATTAATTTGTCATTGTTATTGGTTATAAATCATCAGAACAAGCCCTACAGCCATGCTGAATAAGCTAGAAATTTATTATACTTTAAACGGAAATGTAAATGTAAGATTTTTCAGCGAGGTATCTACACAAATAATTTGTTATTTGTTCACTTGTTTATATACTTTCCAAATATTTACTGAGTAGCTATGGTGCCATGACCATTTTCCTTTTTTATTAGTACATATTAATTACAGAGTAATGGACTCCATTGTGGCATTTTCACACACACACACACACACACACACACACACACACACATTATAGTAAATCATATCTACCTCAAACCACAACTATTTTGTATTTTAATACATAAAACAGTGCATGTGACTGTGTATACACAGAAACTCCAGTGTGTCTTTATGACATCCTAGGACTGCCAGAAAGTTCTGTCTCTCGTGCATCTCCCGAGAGAGCAACTCTGCAAGACAGATGTTATGTTTTAGTTTCATTTTGTGTTGTAAACAGTGTAGGATACAGGTATAAATTTCATGATGCATCTACCACGCACAGGTGTGTTTGAAAATGATCCCAAAATTCTGAAAGTGCTTTTTGATCAATGTGGGACTTAAGAACGTAGATTATAGGGAAACTTTCATCACCAATAATGTTTAATTCGAGTTCTGGAGGGACTGTACTCTCTTTTGGGTTCTTATTTCTAATTTTAATAAATTTAAATTTAAATATTTTTAGAGACACAATTCTCTTGCTCTATCTGAAAATATTAATATACCTGGGTTCCATTTAGGAGTGCTTATCATACTCCATATTCTATTCTGAAACCTATGAGGCTGTCAGAATCTTATGAGGCAGGTACTTTAATATGCATTTTACAGAAAAAGACAGATGATACTGATCGGATGAAAAACTTCCCTAGATGCAATAGCTAAGAAATTTTGGCAGACTCCAGACTCCATTAAGTTTTATGACCCTGTTATCATGCTGTCTTCCTTGGAGATTTAGTGGTATTTGAGGTACTGATAGATGTTTGCCTAAGAAAGAAATACCCAGACCTGCCAGGATCACTACTCACCTATCAAGGTCTCAAGGGACATCTGTGAATAGTAACAAAAGGAAAGGATAGTAACACAAGAAAAATCCCTTGATTATTCAGTACTCTACATCTTAATGATGCACCACAGAATTCTTAATAAACTGAGGTAAAATAGAATGTTGTATTTAAACTCTAAGTAATAGTTATAACGCAATATCCAATAACAGATTCTTACTTTGCCAAGCTTGCTGCTTAGCAAACTTAGCGTTATGCTTATTGTTCAGTTAATCTTCTCTATGACCTCATTATTATACCCATTTCACAAATGTGTGAGCTGAGGCACAGCGTTGTAATCATATACATAGTGATAGAGTTAAATAATAGTCTTGTGCTCATTTGCCAATTGTCACCAAAAGTTTATTTCCAGGTAAAAACAGTTTCACTTCTGTCCATACTTCCTTATGAAAAATAGGTCAGAATACAAAATGGTTTCAGCTTCCTTATTAACTCACCTTTGAGCGCTCAATCACTTGCATCAGATGCAGTCACTGTGTGTACTGTTTTTTCTTGGCTAAAAGGGAGCGCCATTTGAGCAATGTGTAGGGCGAAGACCAGGAGACCTCTCCCTACAACCTCGAATCGCAAAACTGAGTCACACTTATATTTATTCCACTTTTGATTTTAAGGAAACACTTTTACAATGAAAACTTTCTAGCTTTATATCTTTATCACTTAGCTGATGATTCTAAGCTGCACTGCAAAAATCTATGTCCTAGAATTTGAAAGGAGACCATTATTTTTGAATTTTGAAATGTTTCTCGGGACTAAATTATAATAATGGTGACAAATCTGCTTACTATAGGGCATTACATGAATTATAACAATTTGTTCCAGAAACGAAGTAATCCATGCTAAATATCAGCAAAGAATTGACCCGTGGTATTTTCCCTCTTTTTAATGTCTACCTACTCTTCTTCTCTACCTGTTTGTTACAAAGGATAAGACCAGATTTAAACTGACTCTCTCTTAAATTTAATTCCATTTGCAAAATTATTTCCTCTTGATCAGAACAAATATTGGAAGACTTGTTTCTGAGGTAGGGACAGGATTTTCAAATAGTGTAGATTTAGACATTAAAATTCCCTTTATATGACATTAGCTCTTGTTCAATTTTATGGGCAATGAGATTGAAATTGTCTGCTACCAGCTAGATGTAGACTATCAAAGAATTATAAACATAACCAAGTCTTGCAAACTTCACAATTGCTTCTGAAAATAGAACTTCATAGCAATAAATGTGAACCAGAGTGCTTTCTGATACTGTCTAGGTGTTTCGTGAGTCTGTGGCATAGTTAGAGTTGAATCATAATAATTTAAAATATCAGTCGAGGGTACTATGTACTTGTATTATTCATTGATAACCTAAACATTATGTTGACTAGCCATAGTAACAAGAGTATCACAGGTTTGTAAGATGAGATTTCATTTTAGGTCTGTCTGTAGTGATTTGACCTGAATACTAAAGTTTTTTCTTGTCTTGTAGATAAAATCAAGGAGACCTGGAAGACTAGTTGCCTAGTATTTGTTTCAGAACTAACAGTTTTGCTTCAGAATCTGCTATTTCTAATGAAGTCTTTCAGGGAATAATTACCACTTGCCTTCTTTTCTTTTTGGATGTCTCTTTCAGTTTTGAAGAAAGTTTTTGGAATAATAATATACATAGATACATATGCAGAACCGAAGTGTCACACTTAAGGCAGTTTCATTAAGCTAAAATATACTCTTACAGACAGCAGCAGAGCAAAAGACAGAATATTACCAGATGCTTACATACCTGCCTTGTGCCCTATTTCAATCACTATAACTGTAAAGTAACCATTATCTTCATTTCTGTCATAAACTTCTACAAATATCATTTGATTTTCTAACTTTCAAAAATTAAAATCATAACATATAGTTGAATTTATACTGAATATATAGGCCAAGTCAAAGGATACTATGTACATCTTAACACCATTGAATCTTTCAATCCATGAAAGACTCAACTTTAATTAAATTTTTCCATTTAATTAAAATTTCACTAATGTCTCCCAGCTATGTTTTATAATTTTCATTATATTGGTCTTTAACATATATTGTTATTGTTTTACTAAATAATTGCACAGTTCAATAGTATTACCAATGGAATTTTGAAATTTTAATTCCAACTGATCAATGGTAATACATGAAACACAATTATTTTAATGAACATAAGTGGTTTTATTTTCACTTTTAATCACAGTGTGTTTTTAAATAATAATCAACAGATAAGTTAACTGTACTTTAAAGTATAGTCATAGCTTCATTACACTAGCAGTACGTATATAACCTTTAAACAAATTTTGGTCATGTATTTTACTACCAATTATTTGTATTTTCATTGTATATATCCATATAGTACAGTGTGACAGTGTGATACATATATACAATGTGTAAAGGCCAAGTCAGCGCAGTCAGTGTTTCATCTCATTTTAAAATTTTTTTCGCTAACAACAACTATACATATTCACGGGGTATATTTGACATTTGAGTAAATGTATATCAATACAAAGAAATGATAAAGAGATGATTACCCAGATTTCATCAGCATACAACTGAACTTTTAAATTGGCGTTATGTTTTGCAACCTTGCTAAAGTTTAGCATGATTTGTAGTAGGGTAGTTTCCCTGAGGTTATATACTTGCATGATGATATTGTCTTGTCTTAGTAAGAGTGCTACTTTTGTTTCAAACTATTGAACATTATTTTTACCCTCTTTTCTATCTTATTGCATATTCTGGGACTTCCTATAAATTGTTGAGCAGGGAGATCGTACATTCTTTCTCTGGATCTTATAGAAAAATAACTCAGCTATTTCCTAATAAGTAGAAGGCTAGCTATAGTGGTATATCAAGTTGTAACCCACAATGCAAAATAGAACTTGAAAACTTAGTAATTTTTTTCTCGTAGAGATAGGCAGCATCTCTAACTCCTACTGCTG